TTACACTGATCCACTGCTCTGCTCGCCCAGCCCAGTCCAGCCCAGCCGTGTCCTTCTGTCCTGTTCTCAGAGCCTGCAGTCTTCAAGGTGCACTTCAACCCCAGGCCGGTTCACGTGTACTCCTAAGACAGTACAGCATCATATTGTCTCTTTCTAATCAGATGACCTTGGACACCAAAGACAGCCTGGTGTCTGCCCTGTCTGCACCTCAGGAGGCTGGTGTCCAATTCAAATGGGATATGTAGGCTCCTCTTATATACGACAAGCTATTATATCACTCATTCCCCCGCCGCCTTCCGAGCTGTCACCGGTGCTGCCCTCTCAGGTGCACAGCCTCCGGGGCTCCACCGCAGCAGAGCCTGAGAGGTGGGACTTCTGCAGTCTCATCCGTTCTGCCTTCCTCTCTAAAGAGGAGTCAGCGGGGGCCCAGGTGGGGCCCAGCACTCTTCTTTCACCTTTCACAAAATGAACCACAAGGATGTTATTGCTCTCCCTGCAGACGGCAGGCATTGTTCATGGGCTCCTGCCTGCCTTGCTCTGTTCAAGGACAGAGCGTCCTACCTGTGGATTACTTGCCCGTTTCGTCCCCTCCTCTGCCTTCTAGCTGTCTGCCTTTTGGCTTCTTTCATTGCTCATTTGTGTCCCTGCTTGAAGTGAGCAAGTGGCATTGAGAGTACGTCATCATCAGGGCCAGGTACAGCGTCCTTGTGGTGTCCCATGCTCGGTGTTTGTCTTGGTTCATCTCAGCCTTTTCTGGAGGACAGGCTGCCATAGCTGAGGCTCAGAGAGAGGAAGCCACTTCCTGAGGTCTCAAAGCTCTCGGAGCCAGCATTCAAACCCCGCCTGTCTTCCTCCAAAACCTGTGTGGGGTGTTTTATTTTAAATTAAAGTAACTTTCTTGTATTCTTTCCTATCTTTTTCTGTTTCTGACAATCCAGTAATACATTACACTCATCAAATTGCTGCAAGTAAAAAAGTCTGACATACCGTGAGTTGGCAATGGAAATTTTCGTAGGAATAACCACTTCGAAAAGCAACTTGGCAATATCTAGGAAAGTTGAGATGCACATACCCTACAATGCAACCATCAACCATTCCATTCCTGGGTATTTACCCCAGGGAATCTGTTGAATATGTAATTGAAGATACCTGTAAAGAAATGTACTTAGTGGTGGGGAGGTGGGGGAAATCAACCTAGGTAACCATCAACAAGAGAATATATACATAAAAATATATATGCATCTATATATTGCCATATTAAAATCTTAAAATATGCCCAGCCAGTGTGGCTCAGTGGTTGAAAGTTAACCCATGAACCATGAGGTCACTGGTTCAGTTCAGCACGAAAGGGTTGTCAGGTTGAAAACTGAAGTTTTGGTCGACAACCGAGACATTTTTTGAGTGAACAGTCAAGAACCAAATTGTTGGAGATGGGAGACATTCGAGAAACAAGATTTGGCTGTAATTAATAATGTTGAGCATCTCTTCATGTGCTTATTGGCCATTTGTATACCTTCTTTGGAGAAATGGCTATTCAGCTTCTTTGTCCATTTTTAAACTGGGTTGCGTGTCTTTTTTGTGGTTGATTTATAAAAGTTATCTATAGATTCTGGATACAAGTTCCTTATCAAATATATGATTTGCAAAATATTTCCCCCATTTTGTAGATTGTCTTTTCACTTTCTTTATACTGTCCTTTGAAGCAAAAAGTTTGTAGTGTTCATAAAGTTCTACTTACCTATTTTTTTCATTAGTTACTTGAGCTTTTGATATCAAAGGTAAGAAACTACTGCATAACTTAAGATCATAAAGATTTACTACTATGTTTTATTTGAAAAGTTTTATAGATTAGATTTTACTTTTAAGTCTATGATCCATTTGGGGTTAATTTTTATATTTGGTGCAAGGTAAGGGTCCAACTTCATTTTTTTGCCTGTGCATAATCCAGTTGACTCGGTATCACTTCTTAAAAATAATATTTTATTTTTATTGCTGACATTATTACAGATGTCTCCTAGTCCCTCACACAAACATCCCTCACTTTACCCCTCTCTACCTAGACCCTACTTTTTTTCCTTCTGTCCCTCGCCAGTTGCGAGGTTGTGTTAGAGAAAAGAGAAGAAAATTCCAGAAATCTGCAGCCTGCTGGGCCTTCTGCCTACCTGAATGATACTTACTTCCTCAGAATATCGTCTTCCCTTTGTGCTTGAAGGAAATCCATTCTAATACAGCCTCTCCCCTACAGCAACAACAGCCAAATGAAGAAGCGGCCAACGTCTGCGGTGGGCTACAAGAGGCCTATCAGCCAGTATGCTCGGGTTGCCATGGCAATGGGGTCCCACCCCAGGTACAGGGTAAGAAGCTGGAAAGTAGGAGGGGGGAGGGGAGAGAGCCCAGGGGAGGTACTGCTCACAGCCTCTGCTTCCTCCAACCTACCTCATCACCCTTGCTGCACCCCGTATTTACTGAGCGCCCAGAAGGTACAGTCATGGGGCTGCTGCTTATGTCTGGTGTGATGCTCCTCCCACAGGCTGAAAACATCATGTTCCTGGAGTTGGATGTGTCCCCTCCAACTGTCTTCGAGATAGAATTCTCTCATGACCAAGACCAAGATCCCCGTGCACTACACATGGAGAGGCTCATGCGGTTGGACAGCTTTCTGGAAAGACCCTCCACATCGAAAGTTCGAAAATCCAGATCCTGGTCAGTACCACCATGAGCAGAGCAGGCAATGAACGGCCTTACGATCGGAGGCAGGGGGACTGCACCGGCTACCCAGCTACCAGAGGGCGTGAAGGGGGGTCATGACTGGGGTTGTAGGGAAGGAGTTTCTACAGCAACAGGTGAGAGGATGGACGGTCCTCACTGCCCTCTTTCCTAACCTCCTCTTTCACCCACTTGTCCCCAACCCCTGCAGGTGCCAGAGTCCTCAGCGGCCTCCACCCTCCGCCGCACATGCCTCACTGGCCTCCGCTGCTCTGCGCCCTGCGACAGTGCCAGACCATGAGTGACAGCCTTCAGTTAGGCTGCCCGTCTGACAGGCAGATGGGATCGCCAACCCTGGATCATCTCACCTGCCGCTTGGTGTGTGTGTGTGTGTGTGTGTGTGTATGTGTGAGGGGGTGAGACTCCAGCAGACCGTGCCTCTGCCTGCTCTTCTCAGCCTCCTTTATTTAATTAATGTTATTTATTCACGGAGCTCAGCTCAGTTAGTGTGGGGAGAGGCCCTCGCCTGAGCCTGCCCTGGTCACTGCATAGCCTCCTTTTCTGCTGACTATAGACCCCCTCCCCCAGCCAGACCTCAAGCTCCTCTCCATCAGTTCTCCCCCGAAGGGATGGTGGCCAGTGCCTGAGAAGAGAGGACTTTTTCTACCTGTCTCCAAAACTTCCATCTCCTCCTGTGCTGGTGGCGAGCAGCTCCTAAGCACGTTCTGGGACTAGTAAAATGCTGGGCGTCCCCTGAGGACAGGAGAGGTCCTGACAGTGCTCCCAGCACCTTCTGGGCCTCAGAAAACCTTGTTCAGCTTCTTGGGCTCCTCAAAGACTTAACAGACCTCCCCCTCCCAGCCCATGCTCTTCAGCTTGGCAAGAATCCATGGCTTCCCAGACTGCTTCCTGCTCTCCTTCCCAAGCCTCGGGTAGGAATTGTGAACCAACCAGTTGCCGCCTCCTCGGACCTGCAGGAAATGGAACAAGAATGGAGACACTGCAGGAAATGGAACAGGAATGGAGACACTGCGGACAGTCACCAAGGGAAGTCCCTCCTCTCCTCCCATGTCCTTTGTGTCTGTGCCCCTCCAAGAAGTAACTTTGGTCAACCAGTGGTCCAAGCCAACTCCCTGTTTTTGAGATGCTGCTCCTTCCTGCTTCTAATGTCTTCCCTGTAGCTGCCTGGATCCCAGTTCATAGTGGAGGGAGCGATGTCATTATCCCCGCCCCCGGCTCAGCAAAGGTGTCGGCACCTGTTGCTTCCCCCTTCATTTAGCACAGGAGATGGAGACGGGGGCACGATTATTCCCCCTGCTTCTGAGTCACATGTGTTGGGCTCTGTTTTGTTGAAAACTAACCCCGTCTTCGGCATTGTGGAAATTGGTCCCTATGGAAGTGCTCTCCACCTTCCTTTGTGACATCCCAAGATGTCTCCAGGTATCTCAAGTGATAAGTAAATTTCTACCAAAAAAAGAAAAGAGATTAATTTTCATTGACTTTTTAAAGTATGTGTGTTGGTGGAGGTTTGAAGAGGTAATCATGAGAGAAAAACGATGGTTTGGGACTTTAAAGTACCCTAGTAGTGGGAGTCTACAATTCCTAGGATAGGAGGAATGTAGTCATTATCTAAAAGCATAAAATTGACTGATGTGCCTGAAATTTAGTGTGTGGGAGGTGGTAGTGGGGCTGATTGCCCGGTTATTCTCTTTCCATCAGGAAATTACCGTAACCCTTTTTACACTTTTCAAGTTCTGCTCTGAGGACCAAGCTATTGTTTTGTTTTGTTTTTGTTTTTTATCAATATGCTGCCATTTCTGCTGCCATTTCTGGACTAGATGGTTGGGCAACTCAGTTACCATTTGCTCCTGTCCATCAAGGATATCACATTTTTTCATCAGAGCCCAAGAGATTATTTGAGACTCAGAATTCAGATACTTGATTCGGCTGAGGCTGGGACAGGAGTTGTGTGTAGAAATCTCCCAGGTGGCCTGGGCACAGTGACCTCCTTCTCGTTTGTGGATGAAGCAGCATGTATCACCCCATTCGCCACTTGGACCCATTGACTCTGCATTGTCTGGTCACTCCACCCTCACAGTCTTATAGCACAATCTTCCCAAGTTCACCGCCCCTGGTCTGAGGGCTGCGCCCAAGGTATGGTCAGAGGAGGAGCTCCTGCCTGCAGTTTTGTGTATGTGTGTATGTATGTGCGTGTTTGTGTGTGTTTAACTCCACTGGGGATATCTACACTCAGTGTAAGATATGCTGGGAACAGGGCCACTGGGGTGGTTGGATCTCAGTCTCTCTGCTTCTCTCTCTCTCTCTCTCTCTCTCTCTCTCTCTCTCTCTCTCTCTCTCTTGATGTATCAGACATTTGGTTGACAAAGTAAGGGCCCTGATTAGGACCAAATTTCCGTGTCTGTCGCTATGGTCTTTATTTAGGACAACAGCTAATGCAGTGGCCCGTATATTACATATGTAATATATAAATATATATATATATAAAACATTGCCCTCTGTCTCCTTGGCGTAGATGACAAGAAATGCACCTGCACCCTGGTGCTGCCAGCAGCCCGCAGGCCCCAGCCCCTGTTCAAATTAACAGTCAACAATAAAGGAATGAGCATCGTCACAGTGTTGGTTGCCTGCCTTCTCTTCCCTTTGTTTCTTCCTTCTTTTACTCCCGCTTTTATTCCCTCCCATCTTTCTCTCCCTTGTTTTCCTAATGTGGGTTTAGTGGCACAGGGAGCCCAGCTGCAGTTGATAAAAGGAGACTGGCTGCTTAATAAAAGGGGACGCGTCTGCCTAGCATGGCCGAGAGGCAGGTCCCAGACTCTAGGCTGACGTCTGTGCCAGAGCCACGGCCGCAGCTGTTCATGTTCTCGTAGCATCCCCGCCCTGTTAATTCTGAACTATTAGCAGATTTCAGAACTGCCTAGATGCTGTCCAGATAAATAGCCTTTGACAGCTCTGCCCCGTCTGTGCCTCCATGTATCATCCAAGACAAGCTAAAACAGCCAACGATGTGCGTACGGCAAAGCAGGTAGACGTGCCTGGCACATGGTGGGCATCAAGTTAAAATAAACACTACCTTTCCCTTGTCATCTCTCCCCAGGGCCTCTTTCCCTCCCTTTTGGGTTCTGGCGATTGGCTCTCTATAGCAGGGAGGAAAGAAAGCAAACCCGGAGCCCCTGGCTTCCCAGAAAGGACGGGGTTGGTCGGTTGCACAACACGGCGTGAAGCATTGTTTTGGCGATGACAGTTTTCCTGGAGAGGCTCCCTGCCTCACCCCGGGCTCCGGCCCTGCCTGTCACAGGGTTCCGGGCTGGGGCGGCTCTGCTTTTTGAGAGGGACTTGCCAGGTGTTGTGTCGGGTGCTTTACACTTAGGCTCATTGCATCCTCCCCGGTGGGAATGATTGCCACTGGCTTATAGATGATATTTGGGGCCACTGACTGTAGACGTACTTCAGAGAGACTGTGGGTTCCGTTCCAGACTACTGTAATAAAGAGAGTTGTCATCTTTTTTGTCATGGTCTTGCCTTTAATTTGCAAAAACAACGCAACACCTGGGAAGCGCAATAAAACGGAGTGCAATAAAACAGGGCAGGTGGAGCCTTGGCTAACGGTTGGTTCATAATAACGCTGGACTTGGAGACTTCAGGACCCATATTTTGTTTTCTTCTGTGCTACAGGACCTGTCTGAGCCATCTGTACCTCAGAGACCTGACAGGCACCTTGCATGTTCTACAAGCAGTGGAAGCCATGGGCAGGGTGGTTGGAAATAAAACCAAATCTGCAGACCCTTCACCTCCACTCCTATTCTAGAAGCGCTCATTCCTCCCGTTAGCAGAGGGCTCGCCCGTGTGGCTGAGGGGGGTGGTTTTCCAGAGCTCCACGAAGCAGCCGGAAGAACTCGCCCTTGGCCCAGGCCTTTGTTGACTGTTGATAAAGAAACTGCCATGTTTCACTTCTTCCTCCAAGACTCGGCACCTGGTCTCCAGAGTTACTTCTTTGTGTTTTCATTGCCTAGGGGTGGTGTGTGTGTGTGTGTGTGTGTGTGTGTGTGTGTGTGTGTGTGTGTGAGAGAGAGAGAGAGAGAGAGAGAGAGAGAGAGAGAGAGAGAGAGAGAGAGAGAGAGAGAGAGAAACTCTTAGCCAGGACTAAAGATTCGCTGAAGCTGGCCTGAGCAAAATGGGAACACAGAAGTGTGCAGTGGACACCAAGGGTGAGAACAGAACAGGCCTTGGTAATAGCCTACTACCAGGGTCTCAGACACCACAAAGACCCTCTCTCTTTCACCTCATCTCTTTCTGTGTGGGGTTCCTGCTCTTTCCTTGGCTGCTCCAGTTCACGACGTAGAAGATCTCTGCCAGCAGCTCTCTGTTTACATGATCCAGTCATCCAGAGAGACTTAGCGTCTCGGTCCCAGTGCCAAGTTCATGGTAATGTGATTCTGATTCAGTGTTTTGGGTCAGGTGGGTGGGAACATGATATATGAATAATACCTCCAAGAGTCCTACAGCTGTAACCATGTATATGTGGGCAGGGGCGCAAATAAAGGTATTTCTCAAAAAAAACAACAACAAAAAATGATGAGGATAACAGGGAGATTAGGGTATGCTCTAACAGTTAACCAGACAGGTCTATGACCAGTGTGTCCATTCACCCAGGATGGTTCATTCTATTATTCTGTTCATTTTTCTTACAACAATTCACCTGCATCAAAATGACCACCCTCAGAGATCTTTAGGCCCAGGATAGATCCATGTGGTGGACATTATAGGCTGCCTTTCTGATATCCATTCTTCTCTCTGCCTTATTTATAAGTAATTTTGTGTAAGGAGGGCAGTGCACACAATTAGAAACACTCTTTCCAGACACCCTTGCTGCAGAGGGTGGTCATGTGACATGGTTTTGGCCTAGGAGATGTAAATGAAAGTTGGCTAGGGATTTCTGGGAAATTATTTTTGCTTTCCTGATTTAGATATTTCCCATCTCTCCTCTTCCCTTTTCTTCTTCCTGCCTTCTGGAAGTATATTCTTTCACTGAACAAAAAATTTGCATCTGCCACCCAGGCACTCCAAGTATTGTTCTAAGTGCTGGAGATGCAGTAGGGAGGAGAACAACAGATAGCTTTATCCACACAGTGCTTGCCTTCTAGGGTGGAGAGAAAGAAAAACACATTGCACATACATAGTATACACATAATGGTGCTAAGTGCAGTCAAGAAAAATAAAGCGGAGAAGGGAGGAGATAGGGAGTTCCAGGTACTAAGGTGAGGGGGAGATTGTGGTTTTAAGGTCCATACTAAGAAGGTGACATCTGAGCAAATTCCTGCAGGAGGTCAGGAAGTGGACTCCAGGAGAGGAAAAGCAAATGCAAACATTGTGGACAAGATTGGGCCAGGTTGTTCAAGGAGCAGCAGCCATATTTGCAACCCTGAGGCAATAACCACAGCATGTGAAAGGTTGATGGAGTAGAGACACCGGGAGACCTAAGTTCCTGATGGATTTGTGGTTCCGTGCCAGGCTGGGTCTATCCACTTATGCATGTATAACGCTGCCAGACAGACCCCGTTTAGCCAATGCCAGGGGGATGTGCCAGGAACCTGTATTTGAAATGAGCACCCCACTGATTCCAAGGAACTGCTCTTTCAAGTCTGAGCATCTCGGTTTTAGCGATCTGTGGTTCTGAGTCACGCTCACAGTGGGCCTGCCCTTCAACAAGCACCAGCAGCAGGACCACCTGCCGTGTAGACACCATGACTGTGCTCAAGGATGGGAGAGGCAGAGGGCAGGAAGCCACGGAGGGCACAGAGACCCTGGAGTCCCTGAACTCAACCACATGTTTCTTCTTCACAACTGGGTGGAGGGAGGGGACAGGGTGCCAACTTGTTTGGATTAAAAAACCAAAGTGATTAGTTACTCACCCAAAGCTCCCGGTTACAATAAGGAAAAGAAGAACCAGAAAGGAAAGGGATTTCCAAAGGCACACAAATGGTGATCGGGGAGACGGGCTTGGAAGGAGCAAGGGCTTACTAGTCAGACACACTGTTTATATTTTTTTGTTGTGTGTTTCTTTTTATTTTATAATTTTTTTTTATTGATTTCAGAGAGGAAGGGAGAGAGAGATAGAAACATCAGTGATGAGAATCATCAGCTGCCTCCTGCATGCTTCCTACTGGGTTCAAGGCCTCAATTCAGGCTAGTGCCCTGACTGGGAATTGCACCGTGACCTCCTGGTTCATAGGTCGACACTCAATCACTGAGCCATGTCAGCTGGGCTATTTTTATTTTTGAAATAATTTTAAACTCACAGAACAGTTGCAATAATCATGCTAAGAACTCCCACATGCACGAAAATGCCAACTGCCCCAAGAATGACCTTTACCACAAAAGGATCCAATCCAGGGTCGTCTGTTGCACTTAGTTGTCAGGTCTCTGTAGTCTCCCATCTGGAATTCTTCCTCCGTCCGCTCTTGACTTTTGTGACCTTCACATTCATTAATATTAAAGGCCATTAATGTGTGGGCTGTGCCTCGATTCAGGTCTCCTCACGGTTGGACTCTGGTGATGCCCAGCACTGTGGTCTTCTCACTGTATCCGGTCAGGTGGAACACGATGACATTGCTTTGTGCTATGACTGATCCCATTAGCTTTGATTATTTATTAAGGTGGTGCCTATCAGGCTCTATTTGCAAGGAGATACCGTGAAACTAGGTGACCATTCCACTCCTCCTCTAAATTTCAACCACTAGTTTGAATACTCATTGATGTTTCCTGCTTGAATTTATTATTATTATTATTATTATTATTATTATTATTTATCCCACGGGTATTTTTCCATTGATTTTTTAGAGAGAGTGGAAGAGAGAGGGAAAGACAGAGAGGAATAGTGATCTGAGAAAAACACATGGATTGGTTGCCCCTTGCACGACCCCAACCAGGACCCCAGTGGGGAGGAGCCTGCAACCGAGGTACTTTCCCCTGACCAGAATCGAACACAGGACCCTCTGGTCTGCAGGCCAACACTCTATCCACTAAGCCACATGTGTCAAACACAAGGCCCGCGGGCCAAATCCGTCCCGCCAGGCCTTGCAATGTGGCCCGCACAGCACTGTCATCACTGCACTCCGCTGCGTTTCCATCACAATGACAGTTTATGACTGTTCAGTAAACCATTCGGCCCGCGATTTAGGCTGGATTTTAGATTTTGGCCCCTTCTCTGATTGAGTTCGACACCCCTAAGCCAAACCAGCTAGGGCTTGAATTAATTATTACTATATGGTTGCTAAATGATGGCTTTTAATTTTATTGTTTCTTCTACGTTTATTAGTTGACGTTAACTTGTGAGAAACTTCTTTCTCTTCTCCTTGTTTGTTTGTTTATATCAATGTGGACTCATGCATTCCTATTTTATTCAGTGGGTTATGATTTATTATTATTATTATTATTATTTGATGTTCAAATTATGCCAGATTTGGTTAGTGGCTGTGCCTTCAAGCTGCCTTCTGTGTCCTTCTGAAACGTTTCCATTATTCTCTGAGCACTTCCTTACTTTATGGCACAAAAAGATGTTACAGACTCATCCAAGGATTCCCTTTAACGATGAATGGAGTGTTTATTGCTAAAGACTGGCTCTCCTCCCAGGCTCCCTCAGTGGATAGAGCTCGGAATGAATATACATAGGATACACATACTTGCTCGCTCACACACACTGTATAATTATGTTTACTTTACTTCTACCTATCTAACCATGAGTTCATGCTGCTCCCTCCAGTTCCAACCCAGAATGAGGGTTTATTCCAGTGTTCCTGCTTTCATATTTACAGCTCCTTTCTCTGACCGTCGAGAAACCTGGTTTCCATTAACTTCAATGTGGTAGCTTGTGCCCAGCGCCCTAGTCGATGGCCAATTTCTTGACCCACACAGAGTTGCCACCCTGGTGCTCAGTTGGCCTCCTGACATGGCACTGTCCTCTGCCAGGCCCCTGCAGTGCAGGGCTGTGCCTCATGGCTTCTGGCTGGATTGCTAAGGAAGGGAGAAAGAAAGGGAGGGGAGACCGGAGAGACATTCGATCTGGAGCAGGAACCCTCCCCCATTTGATATTCCTCTCTGTGTGCTGAAGCAAATTTAGAAAAGCACAAGAGGAGGAAGAAAGGATGTGAACCGCCCCTCCTCGAGGGGCTTACTAATCAAATCGTCAGGAGAACTTCTTTCTGAACGTGGAAAGTGAAAATCCAGCATCTCATCACCTACTGCTCACTGTGCAAAAGTCTGGCTTTTGAACTCGTGCATCCTCACATAGCCAGGCATTTGGTCTCCACAGAGGAGAAGATGAACAGTTTCCAGCGTCCCACATCTCACGTATTCACACAAACTGACATTTTATTTAATTTTTTTGACTGATGGATTTTAGAGACAGAAGAAGGGAGAGAGAAAAAGAGAGCTAGAGGGAGAGAGAGAGAGAGAGAGAGAGAGAGAGAGAGAGAGAGAGAGAGAGAGAGAGAGATGTGTTGTTCCACTTATCCCTGCATTCATTGGTTGAATCTTCTTTAATTTTTTTAGTCTTGTATGTACCCTGACTGGAGATCGAACCTACTACCTTGTTATCAGGACAACACTCTAACCAGCTGAGCTACCCAGCTAGGGCTCAAACAGTCACTTTTCAAAAATTGTATTAAATGGTCATATTTGAAGTCTAATCTGTGACCTCCCCTTTCCTGAGCTAGTGCCAACCCTGGAATATAGCTGATTAAAGACCAACTTTATTTAAAAATAGGCATAAAGTCTGATGAAGCTATTAAGCTGTTCTCCCAGGAGGAAATTTAAGCACATGTTCCCTTCCTTCCTTCCTTCCTTCCTTGCTCCCCTCTGTTAGGGTCGCCGGAGGAGGAACGCAGGAGGACAAAGGGGGTAGAGAATAATGAATTCTGGCCCGCACCCAGGGAGGGGGAGTTAGAGATTTTAAAGACTCCAGGTGGGTTTTTTCTGGGTGGAGAATTCTCTGGGCGGGTCCTGGGGGAAAAGATAATGGTGTTAGCAAGCGGAATGTGGTCCTTGCCAGTGCTAAGCAAAAGGGAATGTCTGCGGGGAAGTGATCTAGAGGTCAGTTACCAGGGGAGGGGTGTCAATTCAATTATTTCATCAGACCTAATAGCCACCTCTCTCTCTCTCTCTCTCTCTCTCTCTCTCTCTCTCTCTCTCTCTCTCTCTCTCTCTCTCTCCCAGAGGAGGGGTGTCAATTCAATTATTTCATCAGACCTAACAGCCACCTCTCCCTCTCTCTCTCTCTCTCTCTCTCTCTCTCTCTCTTCCAGGGGCCAGAGCCCACAAGATGGGAAATTGTGATAAAACACACACACACACACACACACACACACACACACACACACACACACACTTTTATTTTTGAGTAGTATGATAATATATTTTACTTCTCTACATTTTAAATGAAGAACATAAGACTGGAGAACAGAAAATAATACTTAAACATACAAACAACCGACTTCAGTTCTGCAGTTGGGCTGGCTTTGTATTTGGTTGGTTAAAATACATATGAGAGAGAGAGAGAGGGAGGGAGAGAGAGAGAGAGAGAGAGAGAGAGAGAGAGAGAGAGAGAGAGAGAGAGAGGAAATGGGTCTGCAGAAAAGCGATAAAGAGGTGAGAGAGCTATGGGGTGCCGTCTGGAAAACACAGTGCGCTCAGAAAGGACAATGCGCCAGCAGCCCCGCTTGGCGGGGGACTGGGAGGAGCTCAGCAGGAAGCTCCGTGCTCCCGCAGGGCCCTGGCCCTCCTGGGTCCTGGGAGCCAAAGGAAGTGGAAGCTGACCTTGGAATCCTTTTGGCTGGTGCAAGAATTTCAGCGTCACCTCTGCAAAGAAAAGCGGGTTTTCTGCTTTTATGATTGTGCGTGCAACTTTTGAAACTTACGGTTAAAACGATGGAGAACCAGAGAATTCTAGAGGCTTAGCTAGCATTTGAGGAGTGGCGTGTGCTTCAGACAATCTCTTCCGTTAGCAGGCGGGTCAGCGGTGCAGCATGGCAGCTCCTTTTGATCTGCAAAAGCGGCTCGACTCATCTTTGTTCTTGCAGAGATCAGGGCTGTCACAGTGCTGAAAACTTAGTGTTTTGGCCCTTTCCTCTTGTCAAATTGAGTCCATATTTTGACTGCATTTTGTCCTAGTAGGACGGGATGCGGTGGAAAGGATAAGGAAGCGGTTTGGTGAAAATGACGGAAAGGAATACATCGATTTTTTCTGCCCTCAGTGCAGGAGGGAAAAATCCCTCATCCCTCCCAGCCTCTCCCAGCAACCAGAGCCCCAGAGACCAGCCTACTCCTTACCTCCCAGGGAAACAGCTCACCCCCCGCTCCGTTTGCTTTGGAAACGGGGAAGCATTCTAGCTGATGAAAAAGGGGGAGGATAGCAAGTAAAATATTTTAAAAAGAGAGCTAGAATTCAACTCACAAAACCACTGTTACCAACTACAAAATGAAATTCGCCTTTGGAATATTACAGTATTCTTCATTTCATCGGTGAAGTGAAGGGGAGCTTTATTCGTTCATTTCTTTAATGACTATTTGCTGAAGGCCTACAAGGAACAAGGCATTGTGCTCAGTATGACCCCACCAACAAGTCCTCACCGCTGCATAGCTTACTGTTGTCACCATTTTCACGGCTACCTCCCCTCCCCCACCAACTCTGGCCCACGAAGCTGCAAGAACCTAACTGGTCTCTCAATTTCGACCTTTTCTTTCGCCTCCCCTCCTGTACCTAGTGGTACATTCTCCACACCATAGCCAAAGAGATATTTCATAGCAAAGAAATTACATTTAAAATGTGGTCAGATAAGATTACATGGGTTCCCCGCTTAAAACCCTTCCCTGGCTTTGCGGTGGACTTTAGAAACTGGACCTTTTTTTTAATGGCCTACAGGGTCCTACATGATCTGATTCTTGACCATCATGTGTCACTCTTTCCCTTGCAGGACACTCCAGCTACACTGGCCCTTTTAATTTCGTTCCTTAATATGCTATGCTCGTTCCCTGCTCAGGCCCTTTGCACTTGCTAAGTCCTTTTTTTGGAATGTCCTTCCCCCAGGCTTGCAGATGACTGGTTCCTTTTTATCATTCAGGTCTCAAATCCAATGTCACCTTCTCAGAGAGGCTTCCCCTGGGCTCACCCAGGTAATTTCTAGTCCATCACCCTTTTTCTATCTTCTAAACTAGGGGTGTCGAACTCAGTCAGAGAAGGGGCCAAACTCTAAAATCCAGCCTAAATCGCGGGCCGAATGGTTTACTGAACAGTCATAAACTGTCATTGTGATGGAAACGCAGCGGAGTGCAGTGATGACAGCGCAGTGCGGGCCACATTGCAAGGCCTCGCGGGACGGATTTGGCCCGCGGGCCTTGTGTTTGACACATGTGTTCTAAACGCATAGCACTTGCCATCACCTGAAGGCGTTTGATTTGTTTGATTGCTGCTATTTGAAGTTCTCAGTGTGATGCTGGAACTGGACAACCAAGGGGCGGAAGATGAGACAGGGGCCGGAGACCAGGACACAGGCTTTATTAGAGGAGAAGACCCCCGCCGCCGGCTGCCTTCCAAAGGGAGGGAGAGCACCTGTGCAGGGGGGAAGGCGCCTTTTGAGGGGAGGAAAGGGAAGGGGAGGGGCTTAGGTACTCGGCATACGCTGATTGGTGGTTTCACATAAGGCACATAGTTAGGGACTTAGAAATGGGGGGCTTAGTGTGTTTGGCAGGTGCTGATTGGTGGTTCAGTGTGCAGTCCATATAAGGTACCTGGTTAGGTGCTCAGGAATGTTCGGACTGCAGGTGGAGTTAACTTCATTCTTCGTCCATCGTTGGGGGAAGGGAGGATCTATCAAGGGGTCCAGGCTGCCTGTCACTACCTGAGCCAATTAAACAAGACTGGGTCGAATCGTGTATGAGCCTTTATCATGCAGCAGTATGCGAGAGCAGCAGGTCATTCACAAAAATCTGCTCAGCACTCAGCCACCCACCCCCATACACACACACTCAGGGCACTTGTAGGAGGCAACCAATCGCTGTGTCTCTCTCACATACATGCTTCTCTCTGTGTGTCTCTCCCCCTTCTTTCCACTCTCTATAAAAAAATAAATAAATAAAAAATCAATGGAACAATATCCCCGAGTGAGGATTAACAACAACAACAACAAAGGAGCTGACATTCCTGATGGTTATGCACAGGTTTGTTTCCAGGGAATGCTGCTGAAAGCCAGCCTGGACGATGAGAATACTTGCCAAGGGCTCTGCTGAAGCTCCAGCTCCCGGCCTCACAGCGGAGCAGAAGGGTCAGCCTCCGCAGGGCCGGCCTTTATTTTCACAGGAGCGGAGCCTCGGCGGGCCAGCAGGACCCCAGGGAGTCCGCACACGCTGTAGCTAGGACACAGGTCCTCAGTGAGGAAAAGCTCCTCAGGGAACCTCAGTGAAGCCTAGCGGGACGGGAGGCTCCCTACCCTCGACTCCTGGGCCTGTGGTGTACCATAACCACGCTTCTCTCCAAAGGAGTCTCCATGGAAAATGGAAATACTCAAACAGGGCTGAGGAATTTTTTAAAAAAAATATATGTTTCTATAGATTTTAAAGAGATGTGAAAAGACAGGAAGAGAGAGAAACATGGATCAACTGCCTTCTGCACACCTCCTACTAGTGATCAAGCCCGCCATCCTGCCCAGGAATTGAACCCAGGACCCTTTGGTGCACGGGATGACGCTCCAACCAACTGAGCCACACCAGCCAGGACAACAAAAACAGTTTTATTTGCCTTATCTCATCCAATTCTATGCTAGCAGGTAATAAGCTTTTCATTTCCCCCAGATCTCTTAGTTACAGGTGCTTGAAGTCAAATGTTTTAACTTCCAGAATAAAGCTCTTCCTAAACATTTCAGGGAATAAGAAAGGAAACACCAAAAAGAGGAGGCCAGGCAGAGGGGTTAATGCCCACAGGGCTCAGTCCCACCGGGGACCTCTGGGAGACAGTGTGGAGCACGTTTCCGAGTTGACCCCAGAGAAGCAGAGAGGCGGGGTGTGTATACACTAACCTCTTTCAGGCACTGCTGGAGAGCTGAGTCCATTAACACTCTGGCAATCAGAGTTGGCCCCAAGAGTGGGCTAAATATGCACCTTGGGCCAGAGAAAGCCAGCAGGCACAGGGTTGCAGGTATTGGCAGAGAAAAGCCATCAGAGTGAGGACAGCGAGGTCTGTGCCAAGGGAATAGGTGCAGGGTGCCAATGCCCTTTGTTTCACTCTGATCTACTTGTATCCCAAATGAAGTCCATTTTGGCACTGACTCATCAAGGCGGTGTTAGCCTGTGGCAATAACTAAAACGTTAATAGTAGAACCAGCCTCAGTCCTGTTACTGACTACTCTTCCCCTAGCTAGCATCTCCCTCTTTTCCCACTCAGTCTGGATCCTCCTCCTCCTCAGCCAACCTATCTGGTCTTGGTTGCTCACCTCCATCTTTGAGGAGCATCAGACCTTCACCTCGAGGTTACTGAGCCCTCACGTGAGAACCAAGTGGTCCAATCCAATGGATCCTCCAATAGGGAGCCATGCTGGTGTTTTGAGTCCCTTGGTATCACTGTCAACTCAGAGGTCTAAAAAAAAAATATGGGTAGTCCCTTTCTCTCAGTATTCAGTTATTCCAGTAAATGGCCATAAATCCTTTTGTGGAAGGATTAAGGGAGTCATTATTGTATATACTTATTGCAGCATTTTAGGGTCATTCCTCAGTAGTCAGCATCTTCTTCAACTCATGGGTCCTAGATGTGAGAGCTGGCTCGGGTCTGGACACCGGGTGAGGGACCGTGATTTTTCATCACAGTGGCTGACCTCAGATTTCCACTCACTTGTATTAGTTGTGTATTTGCTGCATAATAAATTACCACAAACTTAGCAATTCAAAACAAAATCTGTTTTATTATCTTACAGTTTCCATGGGTCAGAATTCAGGCATATCTTAGCTGGATCTTCCACTTGAGGTTTTACAAGGTTGTAATCAAGGTGTCAGGTGGGCTATGTTTCTTTCTGGAACTCCTTTCTGGGTGGAGCTCCTTTCTAGAGTTTGGGGTACTCTTCCAGGTTGATACGGTTATTGGTCAAATTCAGTTCCTTGCAGTTGTAGGACAAAAGGACATGATCTTCTCTCTCATAGGAAATTTACTTTAAGCACTTT